GATCTAAATAATAAAAAATTAATAAATATTTCTGTAGTATAAATCAACTTAATTTGATGCAAGATACACAAAAAATGAAGTTTTCGACTGAAGTGAACAACAAAAACTTTACTAGCAACTTTATTATTCAAAACTTTATATATAAATATATAAAAACCTGTAATAATTTTCTATAATTTATGTCAATAAAAATAACAAATCTGTTAAGCTTAATTAAACTACTAAGTAAGTTGTAAATTTATTGATTACTGTGTCAATCTGGAAAATATAGATATAATTTATAGAAGGAATAAATTACTTACATTAATTGGGTAATCTCTAATGTCACAAGTTTCCAATTTTCTTTTAAATATCAATAACGTATGAGTATCATTTTCTCGACCTTCCAATAATTCCCAGTCTTGTTCTGGATCAATTTTTGGTAGCGAATTGCTGTCTGCATAACAATCCTATATTAAAATTAATATTAATTAATTACAAAAATTAAACAATTATTTACTTTTATATATTCGTGTAAAATTAATAGACTTCTTCGAATGGTCTCATGTATTATGTATTTAGCTCTCGGCTTTGAAAACAAAGAAAAAAATCTTTATCACAAGCAATAAAGTTTTATAATGGTCTCTGAAATCTTTATTTTTGACAGTTTTTTTGTCGTCATTAAATTGGTTTAAGTAACGACAACCACTTTTTTTAGGTAGTAAGTGTTAATTTTTATAGAAAAGTAGTCTAAAATTACTGTAATGACGTGCCGATCAGCGAGAACATATTAATGACATCCAAAAATGATTGGAGTTGTTTCGTATTATGCATTTTAATGGAGATATGGTCATGCTCCGTTAGTTGCACCTGCTGTAACACCTGGATAGACAAAGGGAAAAAAACGAAAAACTGAGCAGTCTGCTTCATTTATTACAAGCTGTCAGACGAGCCATTATGCACATTAACCTATATAAGAATTTTTATAAATGAAACTAACTATCATTTCTTAACCTTCATATGATGATGCACAGTAAAATGTAAACAATTATAGTTATTGAACTCCGAGCACCTAAGTATGTGATTCATTAATTACTTTATTTAAATCTTGCGTAAGACAATATGTGCTTTATAAATTTATCCATAGTCATTATGTATATTAAATTAATAAAAATGAATGTTAAAATACTGTGTACAACAAGTAGAAATTATTCATATACGAGTATTTAATAAATTCTCGTATATGAATGCGAAATAAGCAAAAAGTTTCAATTCTAGTTATCAAAATTTCTATTCTTTGTTATAAATTATAAATCTGTGTGTATTTAAAATTATATTAGATGAATAAGTAAAAGTTTAAATAAACTATTTCTTAAAAATTCTTGTAAAATATTTCAAGAAATCATTAATTAAAAACTTTGTGTAACAAATTGTCTTATGACGAAATATTAATATAATTATAAAGATGATCGTTCTGTTTTTATACGTACGACCAGAAAAACATTTTTATAAAATATTATTAAATTAATTTATATTTAATTAACTATACTTTTTTTAAATAAGTAACTTTCAGATAAATATAACTTATTACACAATTTCTTGTAAGGGACCATTCATTAATTACGTGTACAGTTTACAGGAATCACGAAAAGTGCATCATTGTACACGATGGGGAGAGTGTCTTGGCATTATCTGTCTATGTGGACTTTTTTAGTATTAGTGGCATAATACAAATTTGTTCTTCTAAGTGTACTTAATAGTTATGTGAATAAATAAAATACAGTAAAACTTCTCTAACTCAAAGCTCCAAGGGTCAGGAAAACTTCAAGTTACAGACGATTCGAGTTAGAGAACAATAGAGTGAAAAATGTCGATTTTTCCTGTATTTTTACTTCTCTTGCATTATACAGTATAAAAAATCTTTAAGTTTTTTTTTCTTTTTGTTTTAAACAGCCGTGTAACGTCGTCCAACGTAACTAATGGGATCGAACAGTTTTGCAGGTACATCGGTTGAGATAAAGCGAGAGGACCTCTCTCTTTGGACTGGAACGTAATCTGTAAATAGGTTGGAGAGTAGATACAACTAATTGTTTGAAAATTTAATGGAAATCTGATAATTAGGATCGCTTTGTATAGTAATTTTTAATTCTATTCCATTACTATAGTTATTATTAATATTTAAACCAGAATTACATTTTAAAAATTTTACATACAAAATTATTTTACATGTAGACTATATATTTTTTTCATGAGATCAATAAAAACATAAACTTTAGCTTTGTGTAGACTTAAAATTTTCCCAAAAACTTGAAAAATCTAATAATATAATAAATATCTTACGCTTGTCGGTACACCTTTAGTTATATTTTATAATTGTGAAATTAAAGTGAGTGCTGTATTAATCAATAGCAAAATATTTGGATAGCGAGAAAAATATTTTGGTGTCAGAGTGACTTATTTTCCTAATAATTTTTCAAATTTTTTCAAACAAACTTAATACTGTACTTCAGATGAAAAGAAGAAACTTTTCCTTCATGGAAACTTTTTACATCAAATTCATAACTTTCTATTTGATTACAGTCGTTGCTCATTGAGCTCAACATTTTATCTTTGAAAACTTTTAGATTTTTTAATTGAAAAATCTTGGTGGCAATCAGTTTAGCTCTATTATTTTTTATATCATTTGATAAATCTTAATATAATGTACTGCATTTTTGCAGTATGTTTTAGTTAATTTTAAGCTGGGCCATAACATCGGAAATAATTAATTCTCTTGGACGCAAATGAATTGAGACTCAAAAATTATTATTATAAATTAGTTCTTAATTGTTAAAATTCAACAAATCGTCCTAAGAAAAATTTGAATTCGAATGTGATGGTTATAGAAATATTGCTGGGCTTTATTTAAATGACTTGTTTCATAAATCATTTAAATAAACCCCAATGATATCAGCTTGCCGTACATTCTACATCGTCGGAATTTCTGGTTATTCATTTCTGAAATGAGAAAAAAAAATATAAAATAAATCACAAAGAAAATAAATCATTTGACCAGATGGAAGCGTTTATGTCTGATCCTGTTTTCGCTCTGATCGACTTGTTGTCATAGAAGTTAAAAGTTTATATTTCAGATACGAGACAATAGAAAAAATTATTAGGAGACGACACAATCAATATAAAAAAAAAATGTCGTAATAAAATAAATTTCATAGTTCGATAGACCTTGCATAGTTTTAACTAAAAAATTAATTATTTTTATTTCTTCTCCTACCATTTTTGACATGTATAACTAGTTTTATAGTAAGCAATAAACGATTTTATTAAATATTTAAGCTTAAATTTAGCCTATTTAATAAGAAATGATTCAAATTACTTTCGAATTATTTTTTAAAATTATTAAAATACCGAAAGACGTTTAAAATCAAAAGTTCGTTCAGCGAATAACTTAGCTGAAAAACTAGTTTTAACTCAATGCACCGCTCAAGATTACAGTTGTATGAAAATAACAAAAACATTAACAAATAAAGGTTTTCTAAAGCTTTACGGATGAGGTAATCGAGTCCACACGTGCTACAAAGGCTGAAATACTGTTTGTCATCCATTAACAGTTCAAGGTTAAACAAAGTTGTGTTAAATCCGCACATAATGACTGATAACCTTTGTCGGATTTTTCTTGAAAAAATAAAATAATTTACATAATTTTAAATTCAAACAATGCTCCTAAGCATAAACGTAAATAGAATATTAATATTATAATTTGACTTACAAAACAATTTTTTTAATATTACTCCCCATTTTTATAGCTTGATATTTATCTAATTTTAACTTAATTATGAATCGCTTCTATCTTATGAGAGAAGGTTATGCAACTTAATTAAAGTGTAATTTATATATTTTTAGTAAAGTTTTCTTTTTATTATTTTCTATAAATCTCTCCATTTGTTTTAAATTACTAGACTAATTGTTATCTCCAATCCTGTACTGATCCCCATTTTACCTGATAGTCCGAATTTACTGAAGCGGAAGTAAGCAGTTTAGCAATTTCCGGCTGGGTGTTAGTACTTTCTCACGAAATTCAGAAGTTAGGAAAAGTTAAATTATATATTATTTTGCTATCCATCATACACAATCTGCTTTTCATTATAAATTTCAATTTCTTATGCCAAATAAATTTAATTTAGTATAAAATTTTTAGATTAATTTATATAGAATTAAGTTAAGTGTTCATTTACTATCTCATTAGTTGCTAAATTAGGAAATCCAAATGTTTAATAGTTTAAATATATTTTATATAAATTATTGCTCATGTATTCTTGATATTTTGGCATTCTTAATTGGCAATTCTTATGAATTTCATACGCTTGTTTTACATAAAAATAAATATTTATATAAATTAATAATTAGATTGTACACTTTCGAAGTATGTATTATATTCAATTTAATATTTTATAGAAGTTTTTTAAATAAAGTATCACTAATAATGACATGATTTAATAAATCAGAAAATGAAAAAAGTCAATTTTAATATTAGATTCTTAATTTTTAATTAATATTGAGTATATTTTTTTAAACTGGAAGACAGGTATAGCTTATATAATCTGCACAAAGCCTTCATTTGAATAAAAAATATACTTTTAAATATNCTTTTAAATACGATTATTATTGTTAAATGTCTACTTTGGACTTTATTTATTAATAGGACTTAAACTGGTGGTGAAAGATTGACACAGCAATTAGAGTTAGTTCAGAAAAAACAAAATTTCTTTATTGTATCACCTGTTGTAATAGTTTCTGTACACTTATCACTTGTGTTTCGGGCTAGCATGCCCCTCATCAGCAGTACTACTACCATAAACTAAAAGTAACAATAAATAAAATAAGATATTCTATAATTTAAAATCTATTTACATAGCCATAAAAATATAATTTTAAAAAACTTACTGAAAAATAAGCTTCACCACTTTGCACCCAACCGATGACGATATCACTACCTTGCATTCCACCATTAGGAGATAATCCGAATCCGACATATCCCGTGGTAGCAACAACAGTTTTAAATGTAATTTCGTCGTCATCTGTTTTCCAATAAACATGAAATCGACCGTCTCTGTCTAACTGAGCGTAATTTGTCCATTGGTAATGATCTTCTTGAGAGTAGCATAGCGTTATCCATAATATCATAAATCCGTGTAACTGGTGGTAAAGCATCATCTTCTGTCAGCTGCGGTACGAAGCTACCAGTTACCAAATCTTGTCACCGGAGAGTCACATGACAGGATATGACGCAGCGGACGGGTAAAGTGCCGTTCCGGTAAAGTTGATCCCAGACGAGTCAGACAAACCTGGCCACCTGTTTCCGGCTTTTGTGGCCTTTCAAGACATTCGAAGAGGTCTTTTATATCAGAGTGTCAGTATAACGAGGTATTAGAAAAAGTGAAAGCTTTGACCTTTCACTTTGTATCAACTAAGAGAAGTGAGGTTTTAGAATTGTTTCACTATCTATCACAAATTAACTCTTTGTGGTTGTTTATCCTAATTCATCTCAGATACATTCAACAGCTACAATATAGGAATTTTCAGTATAATCGTTCTTTCAGAAATTATGTCATGCGTTTAAAATAAGAAAGGCACACCCTCTTCCACAGATTGACTGCCTACTTAAACGATCCATTGCTATAACCTTCAACCCTTCTCTCCACCCTTTCATTCCAATCTTTACTTACCATCAGTCTGTACACTGTACTTATATTTTAATTTTCTTCGCAGACCCTATTGTTATAATGTACTTCTTTCAACATCAGGAATGATTAGCCGTTCGGAAAGAATAGATTTATAAAAATATTTTTAAGCTAGAAATCTCTGAATAATAATATTTTATTGGCCACTTTTAAGGCTGCATCTCAACAGAATAATGTATGTCATATCAGTGGAGGGAATTATTATCTAAAAATAGTATTATGTATATAATGTGGCCCGTAAAACCTACGAATTCTTTTAAATAAGCATCTATTCTTAGAAATCAACAACCATCGCTTGATCTTGGATGCACTATTGAATAAGACAATGTCCTTTCTCTGATTGTTGTGTGTTACTAATGGCAAAAATTCTAATATTTTCATGGTTTATGTATTTTATGAATATATCAAAAAGTTTAAATGTAAAAGTTATTTCAAATGAAAATAATTTTTAGATATACTTTTTAATTAAGATTATAATGAAACTTTTATATTTTATTTAATAAGATTATATATTTAATCTAACTCAAACTCTAAAATAAAGAGAAACAACTGTGTAATGCATAAAAATAATTTAGGTATTGTTATTATCTTCGAATATTTTTTGTACTAAAGTTTCTAAATAAGTTATTTTTTAAATATGATGTTAACTGATTTAAAATACAAATAAATACAAAATGACAAAAAATTGTATCTTGTTCCATAAATATAAAAATTCTGATATGATATTTCATTTCGATTTGAAGCATAAACTTGATCTCATTAAATTAGTATTATCACACTTATAAAACAAAAAAATTGTATTATATTAAATACAAATAATTTGGAAGAAATTTCAGCAAAGATTAATAAATACAACCGAAATGATAATCACAAATTGTATTCTGTAGCCGTACGATAAAAATAAAAATTCTCTATTGTTAAATTCTATTTTCTACCAGAAATTAGAATTATATAAATTGAACTCTTATAACCTATCTTGAACATTGTTTTGATTTTGATAGAAAATTGTTTGACAATAGGTACAAGAACTATACTATTATCTATTAATAAAACCTGCCATCTTTTATTACTTTTTAATTTTCTTTACATCATGATCTTATCTTTTCTTTTTTTACGCCCGTTAATGATAAAAAAAAAATTCTTAGCAAAAGATAAGCGATGAATGAAAAGAGTTCGGTATTTTGATTCCAATCGTTATCTTTATATCTAGAGGTTGTTCACTTTTGATTGATTCAATCAATTATTTTTTCTTTTAGTCGTTTATTTATTTAAATCTTTCGAGTCTGAAACTATCTTAATTAATATGAAACATAATTTCATCTATTTTAGACTTCTTATAGGCCTAATTTGAATTTCCATGTTATCACCAAATATACAAACTCAATAGAATTAATTGAATATTTGTTTATAAATAAGAAACTACTAAAACACGTAATATTTAAAAAAATATATTTATGATCAAAATCAATATAGTAAAAATATTTTTATTTGACAAAAGAAGTTTTGTAATAAGAAGTTATATAATAGATTACATATACAAAATTATAATTAACGTTTAAAAACAAAGCATTTTTAATTTAAAAAGTGACAAGTATATACACAATTTTCAGTAAACTGTTTAGTATTGTTTTAATACTATAGTTGAATGAATTAAATGTTCTCGCATTTAATAATATCTTTCATTCGTAGCCATATTCATAACAGTGACTTTATATTAAGTAGAATGTACAGAAAAAATGTTTACTTTGATACCGATCGAAATCGTAAATAAGATCCATCTTCTTTAATGCTTTTTGATTAAATTCTCATTGCAAAATTTTTCACAAATCACACTTCCTAAATTGGTTATATTCATCAAAAATTGAAACATTTTAATTTTGTCAAATTCTTTAGGTTTGTGTAGACTGAAGGAATAGAATTTTACTAAGCTATTTCGTTGCAGTGTAAATTTATCTTCGTAGTTAATAGTGAATTATTAAAAAATAATTTACGATGAAAGAGAACTATTCAAAATTTTATTGATCGAAAGCCATTTTTATTTCAGATTACCATATCAGATGGTCTTGAATATAATTCACCAGACTTTCAGATTAAAATATTTTCAAATATAGGAGAACAAATATTCTTCACCTTTTCGTGCATATTTTGTTATGTATTAGCGGTCTTCAATAATGGTCTCTCCGGAAACTTTACTCCTAATAGCCGTGAATATCTTATCTTAGCTATTGTAATTAAGTAACATTTATACACAATTCTAAATTTATTTATTTATAAAATAATTCAATATAATTCCCTTTTATCTTGTTAATAAATAATAACAAAATTTATACAAATTTAAATTTTAAATAGCAAATAACTGGGAAGAAGAATTAGATAAATACTAGAGATAAAATCGTTTTCTTTCATTTTCTTCAGCAGTATGTTATAGCTTCATGTGAACCAGGCAAATTTCAATTAGGGAGCCCCACGTGCAGTGTTCACTTCATACATTTTTTCTTCGGGAGAATTTTTGAGGAATCTCTCGGTATCTATTTGCATTCAACACTATCCATGCAAAATAAAAAAAAAAAACCTAAAGAACAATTTTAGTTAAATTTCATTAAAAATAAAACAAAACAAAACTAGATATATACATTTATGAACAATTAAATGTAATCCCCAAGAAAACTTCATAAATAATACACTTAATTAAATTAGTATGTACGTTTTTGCACCAAATAATTGATTAATTAAACAATAATTAGAATAATATATACTTACAAACTAGTCATTTGTTATAAGAAAGAAAAGACAACTTTTTATAAGTTCTGCATTGTGCCAGCCCCATACCTGCAATTTAAGGTATCCAGATATGGCTCCAAATTTAAATTTCGATATTCTTACTACAGTAATGAATTTATAAAAGATTGGTTTGGGATCCCCAGTTGATGAGGGCCCCAAACCAATCCCAGACAATTTCCCTTTTTTTCCCTATTCCGTCACTTACTTTCTTTTTTGCATGTCGGATTTATATCACATTGTTTTTCACTATCTCAAAATTTAAAATATATTTTTAAATAAATCAATTAATTGTGATCCCTTTCTGCAGCAGTGTAATTCATTTAAATAATACTTTTTGAGAAAATGCAAAGCAATATTTTGGAATTAATTTTATCAATTTCATTAGTGAAATTTCTAAAATAGTTTATAATTATTATTCTAAAAGCGTTGGAACTTTTCAAACCGGATTACAGATCGGATTTGATTTTACTGTGAAAAATCAACGCCCGAGGAAATTCTTTTAAATATTCTAATTACCATATAATTTGATTTAAAATAATTTTGCTTTAAATAAAATTTCATAAATAAAATAAAATAAAGTAAAAAATTAATAAAATTTGACAATTTATCATCCAATTAATAACTTTTTTAGGAACGAGTAACAACTAATAAGTTATTTTCTATCAGTCACTACTGATAGAAAATAACTTATTAGTTGTTAATCAACGTTCTTTTTTCTAGAGAATTTATTTCTCATACTTTATTTATATTTTCTGAAACACTAGAACAGAGAATTTCAAAGTATTGTGTAGTTAAAAATATTGAGAAACATCTAATAAAGCAGCTTATATTTTGATTTATTTTTGTCAAAAGTTTGCAATACGTAAAACTTTAAATTTATTTCATGCATTTATTGGAAATTACCACGTTTACATAAAATACACAACTAACACATAAAGATTTGTAGATTATTACTAATTTGTAAGCAATTATGTCTATTATTATTATTATTAGTCTTTTCGTTTTTCAAAATATTTCTTTACTTGCATTACTGTATTTAAAAATATTATTTTTAAAATTATGATAACGATAGGAAATTTTAAAGTAAAAATTCTATATAAATTTATATTATTTTAAAGAAATTTTTCAAATTATTCCATAAATGTTTGTAAAAAATGAATTTTATATTTACTCTGCTGCCATCTGTTATCACGTAAGAATAACTTTTATTTATTCATAAAAAATTGAATATTATGTTGATAATAGTGAAGAACATTTTTATTTTTAATTAGATATTTATTATATATTAGCTTTTTAAGTATTCAATAGAGAATAATTAAATTTTGTTTTTTATTAAGCTAATAAGTGTAAAATTAAACACATGACACTTATTAGCTTTATCTCCTTTTAATTGTTTACACATGTCTTGTGTCTTACCCTGTTTTAAAATAGAAATAACATTATCTATACTAAACAGAATAAATAAAATAAAATAAATAATAGTAAAATGTCTTCTTTTTAATAGGGTTTACGTATTATTCAATTCCCTTATAGTTTCGCAGCAAACACTACTTTTTCTCCGTATGTGAATAAAATTCTTATGTTACGAAAGTGAAAAAAATTGTTTCCTCTTGATAATATACAGTCCACTCTATACTTTGTATTATTTTTAATAATAAATATTGTGTGTTCGGTTTATTATAAAAATTCAGATGACTTAAGATAATTAAAGAAATATTCTTCATA